CCTCCCCTGTCCCACAGGGGAGGCCGAGAAACGAAAACTAATCAAATTACACCCGACGTTCTCCGGACCCGTGCACAGGAGCCGACCTGGGTCCGCGGCAGGCTGGCTGGGTGGGGCGGGGGCCATGGGGCGCGGGCAGGGGAATCACATCTAATCCACTGTAAACGTCTTGATGTGCAGCAACAGCTTAGAGGGGGGCTCAGGTTTCCGTGGCGTTGGCTATATTTATCTCTGGTTCCATGCCAGCGGGGAGGGTTTAAATGGCACCCAGCAGTTGGCGTGAGGGGCTGCAGGCGCGTGGGGGCCCGTGGCAGGAACCAGTCCCTTCCGACCCCATGGAGCTGTACGAGACATCCCCTTACTTCTACCCGGAGCCCCGCTTCTACGACGGGGAAAACTACCTGCCCGTCCACCTCCAGGGCTTCGAGCCTCCAGGCTATGAGCGGACAGAGCTCGGCCTGGGTACCGAGGTCCGCGGGCCCCTCGAGGACAAGGGGCTGGGGACCCCGGAGCACTGCCCGGGCCAGTGCCTGCCGTGGGCGTGTAAGGTGTGTAAGCGCAAGTCGGTGTCGGTGGACCGGCGGCGGGCAGCCACGCTGCGGGAGAAGCGCCGGCTGAAGAAGGTGAATGAGGCCTTCGAGGCTCTGAAGAGAAGCACCCTGCTCAACCCCAACCAGCGGCTGCCCAAGGTGGAGATCCTGCGCAGCGCCATCCAGTACATCGAGCGCCTGCAGGCCCTGCTCAGCTCCCTCAACCACGAGGAGCGCGACCTCCGCTACCGGGGCGGGCCCCAGCCCGGGGTAAGTGGCCCTGGCCCTGGGGAGTGGGGCCAGAGGGAGCCACCTGGACAGCACGCTTCGTCAGCCTAACGCAGGCAGCAAGCAAGCAGAGCAGTCTGGGGTGGGAGGAGAGGCTGCCGGACCCCTTCTTTGTGTCAGGCTGGACTGTCCAGCTCACCTGCTAGGCCCCTGCCCACCCTACTCTCCAGACAAGATAAAGGCACTGAGGAGGAGATGCGGTGCCCCCAGTGGAAGAATCCAGGAACATGTGTGTGGTCAGCCCGCTGGGGATGAGGATTATTCTGTGGGGGATGGAGAGGTGGGGAAGGGGGAATGCTGGTGGCAGGATCAAAATGGCAAGCTCCCCCACCCAACCCTCAGCCTGGGTATGGCAGAGCAGAGAGGGCACCAGCCGCTCGGCCCCAGTGGAACCCAGCAGGTCTGAGCAGAAGGAAGCCTTACGGGGCCAGATGCTGTCCCCTTCACTCATCCCTGGAGGAAGGAAGTTGATGAGCCCCTTGATGTTGGGTGTCCAGGGTCAAGCCAGGAAAGGCCTGTGGGCAGAGGTTCTGGGTCAAGGTGAGGGTATGAAAGAAGTTGGTTGTGAAGATTCTTGAGTCCAGGGTGGCCTGGCCTGAATCAGTGTGGCCTATGACCCCACCACAGGCACTCCTGTCCTGTGGGATTGGGCAGAGAGAGACATCTACGAAGGGTTGTGCCTTGACCTTGGACCTTCCCCATATCTTGCAGGTGCCCAGTGAATGCAGCTCCCACAGCGCCTCCTGCAGTCCAGAATGGGGCAGCGCACTGGAGTTCGGCCCTAACTCAGCGGGTAAGTGGGGTGGGGGTGGAAAGCTCTGCTCTAGCCCCTCTGGCCCCAGCTCTCAGCCCTCCAGAGCTGGTTCTCCTCTCTTACCGTTATTTCCTGCTCCAGTCCCCCTTCCGCGGCTTTTCTCTGGCCCTGCTGGACACAGGTTTCCAAGGGAGCTTCCCGGAGGCCTTCACCCGATGAGGAATGGTCTGAGCCTCCAGCAGTTAGTTCCCCAGCTGGTGCCTGGTAGCTGACCTTTCTCCACTGAGGGGTGAACGCTCCTGCCCCAGGGCTCCCTGGGAACTGCTGAGTCAGTGCAGCAGAATCTGGCCCAGCACGGGCAGCTCCTCTCTCTACTGCCCTGGCTCCACCTCAGAAGAGCTGCTTCCAAACCCTAATCTCACCAGGGAGCGCACGGAGGTGGCCAGTGGACATACCCTGGCATGAGGCAAGGCAGGCCCTGAAGGAACAGGATTTCTGAGTTTTGCATGCTCACCTGTCCTAAAGAAAACCCTAAGACACCCTAATGACCTCCTCCCCTCTTTGGAACCCCAAGGCTGTCCTTGCCAGCCCCGTTGAGGCTCATCCTCCCACCTTCTCTTTGCAGAGCATCTGCTCACAGCGGATCCTGTGGACGCGCACAACCTGCACTCTCTCACCTCCATTGTGGACAGCATCACAGTGGGGGACGTCTCTGTGGCCTTCCCAGATGAAACCTTGCCCAACTGAGGCCGTCTGCCCGGGCCAGGCATCGGCACGCGCCCCTGAGCTGAATGGGCCACCACCACTTGTGCAGCTGGGACCTCCTAACCCAGGCTGTCCTGATGCCAGGAAGGCGGCCCAGGATAGTCAAATGCCAGACTATCCTTTCCTTATCTGCATAAGGTCAACCCACCACCCGGTGGGGGAAGGGGCTCCCATGTTCCGCTGCCTCTTTAGAGCAGAGGGCATCCCGTTTCCCAGGCGATAAAGCAGGGGACCACAGTGCCCCCGCAGGTGCCCCCTGGGCCAGGGAGCAAACTCAGGAGCCAACCTCCCTGGAAAACACCTCAAGAGACAAAGACCGTGCACAGCTGGACAAGCTGCACACAATTCCTGCTCTCGTCTCTTCCAAATGCAGGGCCTGGCTGGGCCTGCCCTGAATTGAGGAGGGGGAGAAGGGGAGGAACCATCTTCTGTTCCCATGTCCCTGGGGGGGCCAAGCTTTTTGCAGTGACTATTGGGAACCTTCTAGTGGTTGTATGTTTTGTTTTGTTTTGCGTGTCGTTTGTAGACCTGCCATCTGACCAAGGTCTCCTGTGCAGAGGTGCCAGGGACGGGCAGGGAGGGGGAGGGGAGGGCATTCTTGGGGCGAGTTTTGTTAACTAAGCACCGTGTGGTTTTGCAATTGTTTTGTCATTTCTTTGCTAACTTATTTGGATTTCCTTTTTTTAAAAAATGAATAAAGACTGATTGCTAGAAGAGCAATGTCAGTGATGCCTTCCAAACAGACACTCCGCGGGCAGGGCTTCCAAGCACGGCAGTGGGCAGAGTGTTGGGGAGGGGCCAACACTCTGAAAGCATTGGAGGCCTGGTGTTGGGGGTGATCGCTTGGAGCTGGGGAACACTTGCTCTTTTTGCTGGTAACACAGAAGCCAGGGCATGGACTGGGGTGCAGACTAGACCACAGAAAAGCTTGCGGGAGGATGGAGGGAAAGATGCTGAGCATCCCACGGGACTCTTACTTGTTCATGGTCTCCTGCCCACCATCTGGTATCCCAATAGGTTCCTTTGATTCTAATTCACTGCACAAGCTCTCCCACCTAAAGCTCAGCCCACAGCCAGTAGGACCCCTACACAGTAGAGAGCTAGATCCTCTCTCTCTCCTCTCGGAGGCTTCAGGACCAGAGGCCTATGTAGGAGCCTTCCAAAAGCACCAAGTTCACGGCCATCGAGTCGATGCCGACTCACAGTGACTCACAGGAGGTAGAACTGCTCCTTTGAGTGTCCGAGACTGTAACACTTTACGGGAGTAGAAGCCCCATCTTTTTCCCAAGGAGAGACTCGTGGTTTTGAACTACTGACCTTGCGGTTAGCAGCCCAACACGTAACCACGACACCATCAGAGCTCCCTATAGGGACCTTGGGAGGTGGTTAAATGAGAGGCATTGGTCCCACATCCTAGATCACATCCTTGTCAACCAAATAGCATGTCCCCCTCGCCACAGGCATCCATTCTCAGACTGAAGGGGACCCGGGTTCCTGCAGAGACTGCAGGTGCTGCTGCAGTGGGAGGAGGCTTGGTGAAGAACAGCGAAGGGAGCAGCAGCCCAGGCTCCCTTCATACAGGGCTGCTGTTCTGCGCTAGCGGCTCCCAGCAGGCAGGCAGTGGGGAGAGCAAACGAAGCTTTGGATCAAGATTACAGAAGGATTCACTGAAGAGTTAACAGGAGCTAGGATTTGGCCTGTGAATAGCTACTAAAAAATTCATTCATTCCATCGCTCTAGGTGAAGTTTGTCTGATTTATTACAAGTTATAAGTTCTAGGACCATTACAGAAGTCTGGGAATTCTGATCATGAACGAGCCCACTTCCGGTTTGATTCCTTGGGGTTCTTTAACTGACCTAACCCACCAGGCTCTGGGGACCATTCAACATTTATACTGGGGCTCTGCAGGACCATCTTCCCCACACCTGACCTCCGGAAGAAACAGGTGAACACCCAGCCCCCAGTGTCTGCAGAAACTCCTGCCTAAGGAAACAGCCAGCCAGCCAGCCAGCCAGCGCTGAGCCAAGTGGGGGCTGTCTTGCCAGCCTTATTCACAAATTGGGCAAGTCTGGCCCTTTGTGTCTCTTCCTTGTGTCTCGGGTTTAGTCTTGTCCTCTCAGAAGAGCAGCAGAGAAGTCCCTAGCCATTCCCATGACCCCTAACTCTCCCTGACTCGGTGCTCCAGGGCATGGGGAGAACCACTGACCTGACCCCAGTGCTTTGGCATTGGGATTCATATGCCCTCCCGTTACCCTGGTAGTGTCGTAGGGTATGCGTTGGGCTACAAACCGTAAGGTCAGAAGTTTGAAACCACCAGCCTCACTAAGGGGGAAAGATAAGGCTTTGTGCTTCTGTAAAGAGTCCCAGTCTCAGAAGCCAAGGGGGGCAGTTCTTCTCTGTCCAATGGGGTGGTTAGGAGTCGGAATGGCCTCAACAGCAGTTCGCTGCCCTCAGGTGCATCTCACTCTGCCCCTGGGACCCCCAAGCTCCATGTCCCAGGGCCTGCTACCCCGTCCTTTTCCCCTGAGGGATGGGCTGGTTGAGGGCACTCCTTGCCTCTCCAGAGGAGCCTCAGGGGTGGCAGAGTATCCATGTCCAATGGAAATTGAGGTTCCTATCCATACTCTGGCAAGACAGACTGAGCCAGGCCGTTAGTCAAGCGTTTCTTACCATTGTCAGATGGAAGATTCATCTACTTATTCCTTTTCTCAGTCTTAAAGTCCTTGGGGAGAAATCCATTTGTGGAATCTCCCAGGTCATGACTGGCAGACCCGGCCAAGCAGGAGCCCAGCCTCACTCATTGTTTGCACAGAACAAACAATTGTCCTCAAGCACAGGGAGGGACCTGCTTAAACGACCGAACGCTCAGTCTGCACCATGGAATACCGGATAAGACCTCAATTAATGAAGTTGTAGTTCTTCAGGGAAATTAGCTTCAATTCAGTCTTCCGTGCCCAAAAGCACCTCACTAAATCAATCTGGGTTAATCAAATGGTGCCTAATAAGGGATTTCACAGAATCCACGTGAATGAGGAAATTACTTGAAATTTGCATGCCAATTGTTAGTGTGTAAACAGGCACTTCCTGGAGCGGTTGGATAATTCATATAAATTGCAGAATGTTTAAAGTACTATTGGTTGCACTCCAGTAAACATTCCTGGGGAGCTAATGTCTCCAAGTAATGTATTGGGCAGAACGGAACATCTTTTTCAGGTGCAGCAGAGGTAGTATGTCGTTGGATCAGCTGGAGAGGGGCTGAGAGGGGAGACAGTGGAGGGGAGAGGAGCGGCCCCCTCAGTTTAGGAATCTGCTTCACAGCATGTCACGAGTCACTTCTCTGGCTTCCGGACTCCAAGCTGAGGCAGAGCAGCCTGGAGGTGAGTGGAAGCTAGGGAGATGGTTAGACTGAGGATCTTGGTTAGGAAACACAGCCCAGGCCATGTGAGAACCCCAAACCACCATCCCTGACTGTGCGTGATCACTTCATCCTTGTCCTCCCCCAGCCCAGAGCCCAGGCCCCTGCCTCTTACACTCTTTCGTGGGAAGCACAGCAGAGGGGCTTCAGGAAAGAAAGCTCGATTCTTCTTTCCCACAGATGCTAATGGAAGCCTGCAGTTGGCGTCTCATGTCTAAGCTCTGCAGGTCTAAAACCAAACTCGCGATCCCACGTACGTCTGCTCCTCCTTTGCGCGCCATCGCAGGGGATGGCCGTCCGGGAAGAGCATCGCTTCCCTGGATTCCTTCTGATTGCATTCGGGGAGCCAGTGGGTTTCAACGCGGCTTTTCAATCCCCCATCGGTCATAGGAGATGGGGATGGGTTGGAGCAGCCTGTCCACAGCTGATCAGCACCTTTCCTGCTCTCAGGGTGCTTGGCTGTGTCCACCCTACCACCTGGTCCTCTGTGCCTGTGACGCTGCCGTCCGTGTCTGGAGCCCTTGCGAAGCCTCAGAGGAGACTCAAGGGCTAGGAGGCATCGTGCTGCCCTGGGGGACCTCACCATTCAGGTAAGCAGAAGAGAAACAGTCCCACATGAGTTACCAATATAAAACTCGAGTTGGCAGATATAAAAAGTTTGGGAGCCGGCAGGCACTGGGGTAGCTGGAGCTGGGACCCACTTAAAAGAGACGTGATATTTGTGGAGCACTCTGTGCCAGGCAAGAGTTCAAGTGGGCTTTGTTTGTTTTTCAAGTGTTTTACTATACACAAAGCAGTCACGACCACCCGGGTTCCTGGATAGCACAGTGAAGTGCTCCACTGCTGACTGAAAGGCTATGGGTTCAAATCCACCTGGAGGTGCTTGTGGGGAGGGGGAGGGGGGCAGGCCCAGCAGACTACTTCCCCCAAACCCATCCCTGAAACCCCCCGGAGTAGAGTTCTGCGTTGGCATACACAGGGCTGTCATGAGTGGAGAATCAACTCACTAGCCAATGGCCCAGGAGGTAAGGGCAGGGTGCGGAAGTCAGGAGACCTACGTTCGAGACCCAGATCTGTCTTACCAGCTGTGTGCTCGCAGCTTATAATGTCCTGTCCTATAAAACAATCATTCTAATCCTGACACCCCTGGATCACTGTATTACACGAATCAATATACTGTATTCTGCAGCATTCAGCGAGTTTCCTCTTTTACTAGTAATTATCCTGAAAACAGGCCTCTGAGAGAGGCTGGTTCATTCATCCATTTGAACATGGAGACAGACCTAAAGGAGCTTGCTCATAGCCCGGGTGGGAACCAACGACCGCACTGGTTATGTGCAATGTGCACAGAGTGCTGGGGGCGCAAAGGGCTGCTGTTCTCGAATTTGCTGGGGAGGGCTGAGGATGCCTCGGGTGAAGCTGGAAGAGAAGTCCTCAGGGTTCCTAGCTTCACAAGCAAGGGATGAAGTCCCGCTGCCTCCATGCTGCCTCCATGGGTTTGGCTGGCCCTAACGTTTCTGACTTGAGCATCATGAAGCCACAGAGGGCCCCAGACCCACGAGGCTCCGAGGCTCCGTACGGCACACCAGGAGGGGCGGGGCCTCTGATCTAGCGCAAGGTGGCGGGGAACTGCGGAAAGAGCGGGGACTTGGTGGTTGCACGTTCTGTGTAATGTAATCTATGTCAAAAAATACAACGTTTGAACCGCGTGGTGAGAAGCCCCGGAGCGGCAACTCTGAGGGTGGCAAGAAGGCTGAGAGGAGAGCAAGCAGGTAAGCAGAGATGAAGAAGAAAACGTAAATGAAGCCTAGCAGCAGGGCTTCTGACTCCCTCAACACCAGCGGCCCAAGGAGGACCCTCTCCAGCAATCCCACAGGAATACAGTCATTAACCCATGGCGCTAAAGCTCTGGCAGTTACTCCCCCGAATACAACAGTTCTCAGGATTTTGGGAGACCCCGATCATGTCCCATGAGCTCAATGTTCGAATCGACCACAGCAAAAAAGACAGGAGGCCGTGTACACGTTGTTTTAAAACCAGGTTGTTTATTGGTACAGACACATACAAACTCGCACTCACACCCACAACCACACGCACCCATTCTGATGCACTGAGCCAGTACAGTACTGAGAAGGGACCTGACGAGATACAGGAGGCTGGTGAAGAGGGCATGGGTCACTGGCGCTCTCCAAACAAAACCATCTATGGATGATGAGCACAGGTTCCTCTGCGCCATCACCTCGCAGCAGCCCTTCCTTCCCAAGATGCCTAGAATGGCCCCATTCCCCAATTCCGGCTGCTGCTTTCTGCTAGGGGTGAGTTCTGGAGGAGAGGCGGGGGCTGAATCTCCCATAACAGCTAGCCCACTGAGAGTCCTCTGAAGGATGCAAATGGTTTTTGTGGTCCCCAAGCCCACCAGTCTTCGGAATCTGGGGCTTCCTGATCATAACATCCATGATCCACAGGCATCTTTCTTGCCACCCAACTCATTTTCTGCTCCCCAACTCCCCCAGCTCCTCCCGAGAGGCATGATGGTCAGGGAGGGCAGGATCCATCCAAGGAGGGAGACCGAGACCAGGTGGGTACAGCACCCAAGCCTAGGGTTGGGCCCACCCAGCCACATCCACCATGGAGCTCCCTCTACAGTGCGCTAAGCAAGCCCTAAGCCCCAGGCTGTAGCACTCCTTCCAGACTGGGGTACTCTGGCCCATGGTCCCCACTGCTAGCCTCACCCCTGCTGAGAACCCAGTGGATCAGGTTGCAAACTAGCTGCCCCAGCCCCCTGGAGGATGGCACTACCTTGGCCCCTCTCTGAGAAACCACTCCAGAAGCGTTTCTCAGGAAGCCAGCCCTGGGTTCCACCAACCCACCTGGAACGTGGGTCCCTGTTAGCTGCAGGCACCTTGACAGGCAGAGAGAGTAGGCAAGGAAGAGGAAGGCCGTAGGGATAGTCATTCTTACCACACTAGGACTGTTTAGCTCAGTCCCGGTTCCTACCATGCTGCTGGGGAAAGCCATTATAATGATGGAAGCCGGAAGGAAGGGTCTGGAAATTTCTGGAGGCAGCTCATGAACACCAAGAGAGCCCTGATCAAGGGGTAGGGCACTTGGGGACAGGAAGGAGGGTGATTACCCTGACCAACGTTGGTCTTACTGGACTGGGAACATGACTCAGGGAAGGGCAGGGTTATTTTCTTCCTGGGAGGTCAGGGGGAAGGAAGCCTCTGGCCACCTTTGCCCCCCGAACTGAGTTGAGGGTCCGTGTGTATTTGAAACACCCATCATGTTTACGCTCACAGGGCTGGGGTGACTAAAGTGAGGCAGAGGGAGGACGGCGAGGAGGAGAAGGATGCTGGGCGCATCATTGGCAGTACACGGCTAGACCTGGTCTCCTCCACCCCTCGGCCAGCTGCAGTGCCACCTAATGGTTGGGGCAGGGGCTTTCCTTCCCCACTGCCCTGGAGGCCTGGTGCTACCTGAGGTCATTGGCCCTCCCTCAGGCTGACTGCCTACACATCTCCCTGGCTGAGGTGGACAGGGCTGAGTTTCCCCATCCTCACCCATTGGCCCTAAGCTCTGGGGCCTATTTCTCTCAAGTCTGCCCTAACGACTCACACTTGGGAATCTGTTTAGGCTAGACTCCCTCCAGTGTCACCATCCCGAGGGAGGATGTGGCCTGGCCTCTCAAGAGAGACACCCTCAGAGCTGTGGTTGTGAAAACCAGCAGGGGGAAGGATAGGACTGGGGGTGCCAAATCCAGATGTTAGACCATCAGGCACAGCAAGGACCCAGAAGGCAGAAGAGCCCCCAGAGGGGGACAGAGTCTGAGGCACCCTTTTTCTTGGAAAGGTCATCCCAAGCCCTTGACCCAGGGGCCTGGTCCCTGGTCCCCGCAGAAGTCAAAGTCCAGACCAGGTGAGGTCCAGAAGAGAGGGGGTGGGTTCGAACGGCCCCCGGATGGCCATCCTGCCCCTCCCCTAGAGTCCCAAGCATGGGCAACCTGGGTGCCTCCACACCTCTGGGCACCCCACAGCCAAGTCCACCAAAGACGGACAGAGAGGGTGGAGGTGGCAGGGGAGGGTGGTCCTTGGGGCAGCGGGTTATCGAGGGGGTGGACGAGAATATTCTGAGCTCCAGGACAACTGGAACGTCACAGACAAGACTAGGGGCCGTGGGAGGCAGGGAACCGAGCAGGAGGGATCAGGGCTGGCAGAGCCATTTAGCTCGGGAGGGAGCCGGCCCTGGGGGCCGTGGCTAGTCCCGGAAGGCGGAGAGCATGTGTCCGTAGAGATAGTGGGAGTGAGCTAGGAAAGAAAGAGACAGACAGGCAGACGCGGTGAGTCGGGGCCCAGTCCCTGCGCAGCCAAGGTACAAGCTGCAGCGGCGTGCGTGCGTGCGTGCTGCAAAGCGCCAAGCACCAAGGCCCGAGGAAGCAGGACGGGGCAAGCAGGGGCCTTGGGCGCAGCCAGAGGCGAGTGCGGGGGGAAGCGGCAGAGGGCCGCACGGGAGCCCGTGTGCGCGCAGCGGGCCGACAGCAGGAGCCAGGCCCACTTACCCCGAGTCACGGGCACACCCCGTCAGACCCGGGGCGGGAGGGTGGGGGTTCAGCAGGAGTAGGTCCGAACCGTGGAGGTCTCCAGTCTCTGCGCCCCCGCCGTCCCGGCTGGGAGCCGTCGGCAGCGCGGGAGAACACAGAGCGGCCGG